GCATCACAACTCACAGCAACCTCCAGCTCCTGGGCTTAAGCGATTCTCTTGTCTCAGCCTCCCAAGTAGCTGGGACTATAGGTGCCTGTCACAACACCCAGCTATTTTTTGATTGTAGTTGTCATTGTTGTTTGGCCAACCCAGGCTGGATTAGAACCTGCCAGCTCTGGTATATATGGCTGGCACCCTAGCCACTTGAGCTATAGGCACTGAGCCGCTATGAGTTTTTAGTGCAGTAAATGAAATGCTTCTTCAGTGAGTTCAAGAACAGCGATGGTTTCGCAGATATTTCATAATAAGTGTTTAAGAAAAAAATAACAGGTTAAAATCAGTTAATATAGCCATCTCAGCTTTGAAACTAAGTAAATGTCTATTTTTGTTTTTGTTTTTTGAGACAGAATCTTCCTATGTTGCCCTCGGTGGAGTGCCGTAGCGTCACAGCTCTAAGCAACCTCAAACTCTTGAGCTTAAGCGATTCTCTTACCTCAGCCTCCCAAGTAGCTGGGACTACAGGCACCTCCCACAATGCCCGGCTATTTTTTTGTTGTTGTTATAGCTATTATTGTTGTTTAGCAGGCCTGGGCTAAGTTCAAATCTGCCAGCTTTAGTGTATGTGGCTGGTGCCCTATCCACTGAGCTATGGGTGCTGAGCCTCATTTTTCTGTTTTTAGTAGAGATGGAGTTTCACTCTTACTCAGACTGGTCTTAAACTCCTCTAACTTCAAGTGATCCTCCTGCCTCAGTCTCCCAGAGTGTTGGGATTATAGGCATGTGCCACTGTACCCAGACTATAAATGTGATTTTTTTTTTTTTTTTTGCAGTTTTTGGCCAGGGCGGGGTTTGAACCCACCACCTCCAGCATATGGGGCCAGCTCCATACTCCTTTGAGCCGTGGGCGCCACCCTATAAATGTGATTTTTTTAAGTTATTTTCATTGATGATAAATTTAGCCACCACCACCTCTTATTTATTTATTTATTTATTTATTTTATACAATTTAGCCTTTTCTCAGTAGTGGGGACAAATCTTTTTTTTTTTCCAGACAGAGTCGCAAGCTGTTCCCGAGTAGAATGCTATGGTATCACAGCTCACAGCAACCTCCAACCTCTTGGGCTCTACTGATCCTCTTGCCTTGGTTTTTCTATTTTTAGTAGAGACAGGGTCTCACTTTTTGCTCAGGCTGGTCTTAAACCCGTGAGCTCAAGCTATCCACCTGTCTCGGCCTCCCAGAGTGCTAGGATTACAGGTGTGAGCCCGGCTTGACAAATCTTGATGGTTGGTTCTTCCCACTGTTGGATTGGTTTCTCCATGCATTTGTACACAAGCCATGTTTATTAGCACCTGTCTTCCATGAGGGAAGAAGTCTGAGGAGCCAAGTTACTGACTGTTTTACACCTCTGAGGGGGTAGGAAGACTGAATAATTGCAACTGGCGTGTAGCATTTTGGTGGGCTGGATGCTGATACTGTAAGGTGACCAGATGTCTCACTTTTGGCGGGATAGTCCTGATTTTTAACAATTTGTCCCACGGTGTGTTTTTTGTTTTTTTTTTTTTGTAGAGACAGAGTCTCACTTTTTCACCTTTGGTAGGGTGCAGCGGAGTCGCTTCAGCAACCTCCAACTCCTGGGCTTAGGCGATTCTTCTGCCTCAGCCTCCCAAGTAGCTGGGACTACAGGCGCC